TTAAAAGGTAATGTTCTACTCTTATCCCTTTAAGGGATGTCTCGTGACTGTTAATTAAAATTAGACTCATTTTAAAAACGTTTAACGTTAACTGTTAACGAACTAAAAAAAAAAAAAAATATCGATAGCCAATCAAATTAGATAAAATTTCAATTCCAGACGTTAGTATGTTAATCTTTCGATCGTACAAATGACCAAAAAATAAAGTGGCACAAAACTCAACAAATTTTCCGTTTACTTGTCGTTGAATCAATAACTATCAAACGTAATCTTTAACAATAAATTTTATTAAGACGCGTAAAACTTTATCTGGATGCGGCGAATAGTAAGAATTTTACTTGTTGGGGATGGTAAGTTCAAGTTTTTAATTGGCCAACTTTTCCTGTTCTTACATTGATCAGCCAATGTAAAAATCATTTAAAAAGACGGTGTTGGGAAGAGTACATTAATAACGTCGCTTATAAAGGAGACTTTCGTTCCAAATGTTAGTATAATTATCAATTTTATTTGAAACACGCTTTTTTTTTGCATCTAACACTAATATCCAATTCAAAGATCCAGCATGTCGTCCCGGAAGTCACAATTCCACCAGAAGTTACTCCAGAAAACGTAATTACACATATTGTCGATTCATCTGGTAATATATATACACTACTTTCAATTCCATACTTTCTTGCCTTTAATGCTTGTAATTCAGAAAATTCCACCTATTTTTCACGATTTTCTGTAACAAGCACGTCCGGAACATCGTGAACAGCTTGAACTAGAAATCAAAAAATCCCACGTTATATGCATCGTCTATTCTGTAGATGATCAGCATACATTTAACCGCCTTGCATCATATTGGCTACCATATATTAGAGGCCTTGGGGTGAATGTGAGCAAAAGAGGGGAAAAAATAAAAAAAGTTCGAATGTTTCATAAATGCTATCCATTATACCAAAAGAATCAAATTTAATTTAATATTTGCTAATTCCTGGTTATGGTCTCTTTAGGTTCCTGTTGTGCTAGTAGGTAACAAGATTGATCTCCGAGGTGATCATGTAGCTAATCAATCTCTGGAGGATGAAATAATACCGATTATGAATGAATTTAAAGTAAATTTCAAGTTTTTGATTTGAAATTTTATGTAGCTACATTTATTTATCAAATTGTGGTATTATAGGAAGTAGAAACATGCGTCGAATGTTCTGCAAAGCAGCCATTAAACGTGTCCGAAGTTTTTTATTTTGCACAGAAAGCTGTACTTCATCCAACCGCACCCTTGTACGATTCTAGAGAACATGTAGGCAATATCCTAATGAAATCTTATGCTTCAATATATTGAAATTCCCATTATTTATGCTTATATATGACTAATAATTAAATTTAGGTCTTGAAACCAGCATGTATTGATGCACTTAAACGTATCTTCAATATTTGTGACATCGATAAGGATGGTGTACTGAATGATAATGAGCTTAACGATTTTCAGGTAGCAGTAGCTTGACATAATTACTTATCGATATTATAAGAATTATATGTATTTTAATTCATTTTACTATTTATAGCGGAAATGCTTCAATGCTCCACTTCAACAACAAGAACTTGAAGGTGTCAAAGAGGTTGTGAGAGAGTATGAGCCTAGTGGTGTTAATGAAGTGGGCTTAACCGAACTTGGTTTTTTATTCCTTCATACACTTTTTATACAACGGGGTCGGTTAGAAACTACGTGGACAGTTCTACGAAAGTTTGGCTATGGTGATGATTTATCTTTAAGAGATGATTTTCTCTTTCCTCCGTACGTATATAATTTGTATTAGTTACCGGTAAAAATAATAATCTCATTCTTATTGATACTGATATATTTACAACTCACCAGATTTGAGGTTCAACATGACTCTTCCGTAGAATTAAGTCCCAATGGATATCAATTCTTTGCAGACATATTTCAAGTTTATGACAAAGTAAGTTTATAGAATAGATCAACTGATAATTATCTGTATATTTGTATTTTGCCAACAGTTCGTTGTTACTATTTCTCCCTGATGCAAATTATATAACAAGGATAAAGATGGTGCGTTGAAAGATAGCGAATTGGCTTCGCTTTTTGCCACGACGCCTGGTAATCCATGGACGAATTCTGAATTTCCTAACACCACAATCACAAATGAGGCAGGTGCAGTTACATTACAGGGGTGGCTGGCACAATGGAGGTATGAGTAAGTTGAAATATATTTGTGCTTAAAAAAGCAATTTATCAACAGTCATGGGTCAATATTTAGATTTAAAAAAAAATTTATCTGAACATCCTCTTAAAATAACGATTAGTATGACAACGCTTCTCGATTACAAGACGACATTGTCATACCTGGCATATTTGGGATTTGATGGTGATACGACGGCAGCTCTAAAAAAAACGAAATCAAGAAAGATAGACAAAAAGCGAAACAAGGTGCAAAGGAATGTATTTTTGGTATATGTTTTCGGTTCAGCAGGTTGTGGTAAGGTAAGTTTGTGTGATTTTATGTTCTCTTTATATACAGTATATATATTCCCTTTCGTCGTGGAATAATTTTTATGTAATAAATTATTTTATTTATATAAGACGTCGTTGCTGAGAGCATTTGTAAATAAGCCTTTTGCAGATAGCTATACGCCAACAACTAGACCTTTTAGTCTAGTAAATTCTGTTGAAATCAAAGGGGAAGAAAAATATTTGGTGGTACGTTTTAATATTGTTATATACAAAATTTAGACTATTAGTCTTAGCTTCATAATTTTTCAGCTGCAAGAAGTCTGTTCGAAATATGAAGCCGAAATATTTCAAAATAAGCGCAAATTAGAGATGTGTGATTTGCTTTGCTTTTTATATGATTCTAGCGATGCGAATTCCTTTTCATATATTGTTGAGCTTAGGGTAAATATACTGCATCTTTACATTTTACATCACTCTATGAAATTAGCTTATTGATACTAGATTTATATACCATTTTAAGATCTGCTAATGGCCTGTTTATTTCCTTAGAAGCGGCACAATTTAGATGATTTCCCAACCGTATTTGTTGCAACAAAGAGTGATTTAGATTTGGTTCAGCAGGTTTGTGTATATAATACTTTATTCACAATAATTATTTAATATTTATATTTGGTATTTTGCGATTTAGAATCATGAGGTTCAGCCGGACGTATATTGTCGAAGCTTGGGACTTGCTGTTCCATTGTGTTTATCAGTAAAAAAACAACAAACAGCAGATCTATGGAATCTAATGACTGGGTTGTCTATAAACCCAGCCATAGCTACCCCAAGGCTCGCGAATGCTTCAAACTGTGCATCGAGACTTAAACGATATTTGACATTCACGGCTGTGATGGGAGCGGTAATGGGGGCCGCATTTTTAGGATATCGGCTATTTCAGCATCAGCGAGGGTTTGGGGGTATAACAAAAAGAGACATACTATAAGGTGTTAAATTTTTTTTTTTTTTATACGCTCGAGCTGAAAAAAAATATAATTATTACATAGTGAACGATTATCAAGGACATTGGAATTCATGTTCAAAGGCAGATTATGACATTATAATTTTTTTTTTTTTAAAAAAAATGGAAAGTTCTGTACTTTATGCTTCATAAAAAAGACTTTAGTTAAAATAAATAAAAATAAAATAAAATAACAAAAAACCAATTCTTGTATTATGAATACAAAAACTAAAGCAGACTGATTAAATTATTGATTGAAATTTATTAGACAGATCTTTGTTTTATGTAATTTGATAATTTGCAATAATTTTCCCATGTTTAACGAAGACGTCTTGCTTCACGTTCAGATTCTAAGAGACATAGAATATCATTTTCACGAACAGGTCCTTTAACGTTACGGATGATTGAACGGGTTGAGTCGTCCATAAATTCAACTCGGACTTGAGTGACACCACCACGAGAACCTGTGCGGCCAAGTACTTTTGTAACTTTCGCGAGTTTAACTTGTTGTTTAGCGTCCTTTGCATATGATAAATTTATTAGCAATATTTTGATTATAATACGCATAGCCGAATGACATATTTACCATTATTTTATTTTTCGAAATTTAATGATAATGAACGTAGTGGTAGGTTTTTTTTTTAAAAAAAAAATTGATGCGGGCCTTTAATGATCAGATTAGTTATTTGAACCGGTTGGGCTATAATCGGATAGCCGAACCGAAAGTAGAAAAATTTCGGTTAACCGATTGAGTAAAATATTTACAGCTGTTTTCATAAATTCTGGGACATCTGGCAAAAAATGGTCCGAACAAATATTGCCGGTTCGATAAGTTTGTGATTCGGCAGTGATAAACTTTTGATTTGGATGTGAATTACAGTAATTCACATCCAAATCACTACCGAATCACAAACTTATCGAACCGGCAATATTTGTTCGGACCATTTTTTGCCAGATATTCTAGAATTTATGAAAACAGCTGTAATCTGCTAACCTAGTTGAGTAAATTCTTAATCAGTTGATCTGTACAACCGGTTAAGTTTCGGTAATTGGTTGACAGGATATAAATAATATCAAGAAGAAACAAAGGGTCTGAGAATTTCTGAAAAGAAAATAAATAAACATAAAAATCTGAGTAAAGGTTTTTTTTTTATTTTATTTTATTTTATTTTATACAACATGCTATTGGTGAGATTTTTATTGTTATAATAGTTTTGAACAATGATTACATATGTAAGAGTATAACTAGCTATGTGTATAACTTTAGATTGTCTAATTTAAGTAGTCTGCCTGAAGGTTTTACACTAATTGTTATACCTGAAATTTATTTGAAAATTCTCTATTTAAACTTTTTAATTATATGTTATTCTTATTCTGCTATTATTTGTTATCTAATATTCACCTAACCTTGTACTACTTCATTTTTTAGAAAACATTAACAGAGTTAACATGTATTTACAAACTTTAAGATTCAAAGTCTAGGCTCATCTCAGGTACCTCTTTACTAACTTCTTAATTACTAGGTATTATGGTACCCAAATATGCTACATTATATTCTAATCTAGTTTGCATATATCCTTGTTCAATATTCATACAAACCCAGTTTCTACTATAGCTTTCTACTAGATTAGTTATTTATGTCTCTAGATATCATATAAGATAGGCCTTTTCAAATCTGGTTACCACTCAGATTGGTATTGCTAAAAGTCATTTGTATCTCCAGATTATAAAGGTTTAGTTATAATAAAATATTATTATATAGTTTTTGCTAATAAATACTTAATTTTTATTAAAGAAATTTTGTCAGGTTTAAATAATTTTTAAATG